AGGTACCTGACCGCCCCTAAAATTTTCTCAACGGATTTAGACGATTCACAAAAATGATCAATTTAAGAAATAAAACGGCGGATTTCCGCGGATCCGCGGAAAATTGCCATGTATGTTATGTGCTCCCTCTTACGAATACCAGTCAAGAGGTGAGCAGCAGCTTTCTGGACCAACTGGAGACGCTTGATGGGGGATTTTAAAAGGACTTTAAAACAACCACTGCTATATACCAAGTGCTGTACATGGAGTAAAAATAATTCATACAACAAACAATAAAACAATCAGTAATGACAAAGACAGTCGAAAGCACAAAAATAGTAAAACTAAAAATCAAGTCTCACGCTGAGTCAAATGTCAAAGATTAAAAATGAATTTTAAGACAAATTACATTATATTTACTATATTTGTATTTTTATTTTCACAAGTCTTGAAATTTTCTGGGCCAACCTGGTAATTGTATTTCATGCCATATGTGGAAATGTGTGCTGGTATGATAATAAAACTCCTTGAATCATTGAATCCTGAAAGGGGAAAGCAATCCCAACTTTTCCAGGACAGTAATATGTTCTATGCCCTTCTACTAGTCTAAACACAGCATTCTGACTAATGCTGAGTTTGTGGAATATGAGTTAAGCACCTGAATCGACCCGCAAAATGGCCGCCCCCTGAGATGGACAAAAACAGTTGAATTTCGCGACTATATTCTACAAACGCAATATTAATTAGAATGCCGTGTTTAGACTAGTGGGGCTGCATATAATATATTATTGTTAAGATTTTTGGGGGGGGTTGACTCCCCCTTTGACTGTTTAAAATTGGCATTTCAATCAGATCATCCATCAGTTGCAAAACACAGCCGGTAGGATCAATGTTGCCAAATTATTTTTTCGCCTTTCCTTACATTATATGAGTTAAAAAGAAAACGCATGCAAACTTTTGTAAAGGATTCACCATAAACGCAGATGAAATTCTCTCTTTACCACTGAGCCATCACCTTAATGTAGTAGAGGTATTTTGTGTGTCTCGGTGATCCCAGCAGCTAAATTGGCTTTATGCCACAGGCAAGGTCATCCATAGGAGAAACATACTTTTTCAGGTCCCTTACCAAGGATGAGTCAATGATCCCTCATAATGAAAAAAATAATTGGAGCTCATTTTCCCTCGACAGGAGGTGGGTCACCGTGGCCACCCACTTGAAGCAGGTCTGGAGGTGGGGCTCAACAATAATAATAATGGTGATAATAATAATGATAATAATACATTTAATTTTGAAAGTGCTTTTCATCGTACTCAAAGACACTTTACAAGAGTTTAAAACACAGGATAAAATGCACACTTTAAAGCCAAGCCCACATGATTTAAAACAAACACATTTAGAAGAAAAAAAACAAAGCAGAAATGGATAAAAGAGATTAAAAGGTGTGAAAAGCATTGCGGAACAGGTGAGTTTTGAGAAATGATTTGCAGGATTGGAGGTCAGTAGAGTTGTGGATGTCTTGTGGTAGAGAGTTCCAGATGGTGGGGGCGGCGACAGAGAAGGCTCAGTCCCCCCAGGTTCTGAGCCTGGTCACGGGGATGGCGAGGAGATTTGTCTTTGAGGAGCAGAGGTTGCGTCAAGGAGTGTATGGGTGAAGAAGGTCAGAGAGGTAGGAGGGGGCCTGATTCTGAAGGGCTTTATAGGTAAGTCAGAGGAGTTTACACTGAATACGTTGGGGAACGGGGAGCCAGTGGAGGTTTTTAAAGACGGGGGTGATGTGATCACGAGTGCGGATGTGGGTGAGAAGGTAGGCGGTGGTATTCCGGATGTACTGTAGTTTGTTGAGGAGTTTGGGGGTTGTACCGTAGAGCAGTGTTTTTCAAACTTTTTTGAGCCAAGGCACACTTCTTTCATTGAAAAAAATCTCGCGGCACACCACTAGCTGAAAATGTGACCCCCCCGCCCCAATATAACGGTTATATTGTTACTATAACCGTTTCTAACATTTGAGAATGACGTTATAACAGCTTGAATTGGAATCAAATGAACACAAAGAAAACAGTATTTTATCATCTTTAATATGTATCGTTTCACCGTTGTCCTGCATTCATGCGTCACAAATTCGCTTGTCTCCCGTAGAAACACAAGGCAATTGGCTAGCTGTTGCTGCTCCCTAGTGGTATGGGAGGGTACTACATGATTACTTTCTGGGCGAAAGACCGCACAGGCATACAAATTGGATATTTTCCCGCAGCACACCTGACAATGTCTCACGGCACACCAGTGTGCCGCAGCACACTGGTTGAAAAACACTGCCGTAGAGGATGCAATTGCAGTAGTCAAGGCCGGAGGTGATGAAGGCGTGGATAAGGGTTTGTGCGGCGTTGAAAGAAAGTGAAGGGCAGAGGAGAGAAATGGTTTTGAGGTGGAAGAAAGCAGTTTTGGTGATTTGGGTGATGTGTTGGTCGAAAGAGAGATTATTATCAAAAAGGACACCCAGGTTGCAACAGTGAGAGGAGGGGAGCAATGGCAAGCGTCTGGTGGTAGGGCCTGCACCCATGCGGCCCAGCCAGGCACTGAATGAAAAGGCAACATGAGTACCATGGGCTCACAAACTATGGGAAGGGGCCAACGGGGTCGTGGTGACCCTAAGGGTCTGATTCACGCCTCCATTTAGCCATTATAATATCTGCCTCCCTCACCCCGACACGCACACACACACACACACACAGACACACACACACACACACACACACACACACACACACACACACACACACACACACACAGCTCCCAAATTTCTAAACACTTGTTCCACTTAATAAATGTAACTTAACATGCCAAAAGAAGAGTTTATACAGAGCTGCTGATTATAGGCTGCATTCATAAATTCACGTGAGTGGAATGCACTCTGCATCCTGGCTACGGATGAGTATGATGAAATGTTGGCTAATCTTCTTCTTCTTCTTCTCCTTTCGGCACATCCCTATTCAGGGGTCGCCACAGCGAGTCAGTAATTTCCATCCGCCCCTGTAAACCGTCCCACCAACTCGCATGGTCGTCTTGGCAAAAGTTTTACGCCGGATGCCATTCCTGACGCAACCCTCCCCATTTCTCCGGGCTTGGGACCGGCACTGGGGAACAGTGCACCCCCAGGGGAGGGCACTGCCCCCCAGCGGCTGGGTTGTGAAATGTTGGCTAATAACTGTTTAACAAAGTTTTTCTTTTTTTCTTTAAATGTCTTACCTTCAGTAATGGGTAACAATCCTGATGGCTGAAAATATCTTTTTAATTCTTGTTGTTGTAATAAGTGCAAGTTATTTGCCATGACTACCGCTGCCTCTTTGTCGTCTGTGATGTGCTGTCACGAGATCCTCCTTAGGTTTTTGTATTATGACTTCCTCATTTATTTTGATGGTCCACTTACAGGGACTTTGTTTGCTTCCTCTATTATCAGGCTGGGCCGGAGGGTGCTCCCGCACCTGCAGCTGATCAGCAATCACCACCTGTGGATCAGACCTCTGCTGATCTGCAAGCGGGTGCCAGATGATTCGTGAATTACGAGTGGTATCTTGGCCTTTTTTGGCACATATGCTTGCCCTTTTTGGTAGTGATGGGAAAATGAAGCCTCATGAAGCAATGAGGCTTTCCATCCAACTGGTTCGTTCCTGGGCCGAAGCATCATGAGGCTTTATTTGTACTATTGCGCCATGATGTGGAAAATAAATGTCATGACAGACAGTGATTAAAATGATACCATGGATTTGACGTAGAGGTAAAATCGGGCCAAAACAATCCAGCCCGACCCGGCACGAGCCTGACCAATTAGCTTGATTTGCAGGCCCGAGCCCTAACCAAACCTGACATTTCCTATTAAATTTGTGATGACTCGGGAGGAGGAGGGGTGATTTGTGAAAACAAATTAAAGCCTATCTTTTGTCACGAAATCTAAGTTAAACAAGTCTGTATAATTATTTACATATTTTAAACATGTATTTCTGTTTCTGCAGAGGGTACATTAACCGACGATTTTCCATCATTGACGGATTTTTTTTAAGAGTTGTCGGAAAAATTTAAGGCTGTCCGTCATTTTGACAGGTTGAAAATTGGGCCATTCTCCACAGCAGCAGTTCGTCCTTAAAAACCGAGCGCGGCACTTGAAGAAAGAGAAGCAGCGAGACAAAGAAGAACAATGACGGCTGGATCATAGAGACATGAGGAGTTCTTTGAATTGTCATTGCGAGAGTTTAGTACAATACGTGTTGTGATGAGGCCACTTCTGTTTTTTTGCGTACCACGGTCTCTCGTGACCAAAACTATTCACGGCCTCGTAACGAACAAAATAAAAAAAAAGTCAGCGAGAGAGAAGCCCGAAGTCGGGTCGGGACGGGCTCGGGCGGCCCAATCTTACCTCTAGTCAGGGTCACCTGTCAGCTCATTGTCGTCCCGGTGCGCCGTTTTATTTCAAATCACTTGCGAAGCTATTTGTTGGCGGTGACGTAGGAATCCCGTCTCGCGAGGCTTCGGACGTAGCAACGCGCGTTCCGAGGCTTCAGGCGTGGCCACATGCGTAATCGACACGTGCCTCGAAGCACGCCTCGCAGATTTTTTTCCGGTTTACTCAGCACACGCATCAGAGCCTCAGCACAGTTGGGCACATCACTACTTTTTGGATGTTTTGTGTATAACTACTTACTCTTCCCAGTGCCTCCCTGCTTCTGCCTTTTCACCCACGGACCACGTGATCTTACGATTATCCTGCTCCCCATTCGCTCTTGGATCCACTGCTACTTCTAACTTTCCTGAACCATAACATTGTCGTCTTACTCATTCTTTTTAAAAGGAGGAAGAGGAAGACGAAGAAGAATCACTCCCGCTGGAAGATCGGAAGTAGTCATGACAAATCATTTTCACTTTGCACAAGAATAAGATTTTAAAAGGCAGATTAATTCACCAGGATCATACTTTAGGCTACCATGTAACAAGGAGTCAAGTTGAGGGAAGCCATTTTAAGTTAAAAAGAAAAATTTGAATCTAGTTATTAGCCAATATTTCACCGTTGTCCTCCTGCAGTAGCAGGATGCAGACCTTTCTCTGGGCACATTCATGAATGCAGCAGCTGTTTACTTTCTTTGTAGTGCCTGAAATAGACACGTTTTTGCGGCACACTGATTAATTTAATGCAACAGCACATTTGAACAACTTTCTGAGTTTCCGAACTGGCTGGGTGAAGAAGTGCATGTGGAGTACATTTCCAATTGTACTCACAATGAGGGAACTGACATTTTGGGGGTGAAGAGTTTAAGCACAAATTCAGAAATACGTATCAAGCAGGCACTGATTCACAACGACCATTCAGAAACTCAGAGCGTTGTTCAAATGTTCCATTCGGTGTTTCAAAATATACCAAAAACTGAGTGCCAGTATGCTCTCTTGGCACTCCAACTGGCGACATGGTGCACCAATATGTCGGCAGTCCAGATAGAAACAGTTCATGCATGAGCAGCTGATTGGTTTAGAACAGGGGTGTCAAACTCATTTCACATTGTGGGCCACATACGGCCTCGGTAGACGTCAAGTGGGCCGGACCATTAAAAATTATACCATACTCTGCTATAAATAACCAAAATAATATGTCTTTCCTTTGTTTTGGTCTAAAGAAGCACAAGAACACTAGGAAAATGTTGAAATTTAATGAACATATATTTTACAAAACATTTCATGAAGCACCTAAGATTTCCTTAGACAAATGTGCAATTTACTTTTATCATTCACATATATGCATTGCAACTGATCCCACTGACTGTACAAAGGCACAAAACCTTAACAATTGGTATTGAAAAATATAGTAATGCACTTTTAAGATTAAACAAGATTTATAAAGAAAGGAATTTTTAAACCATTTACACGAGCATATTAAATCTAAATGTAATCCCTGCCTACACCTTACAAACGAAGGAGAGTGCTATATGTGTAAAGAATAAAGTATTCACATGTCCTTGATAGCATCTGCTGTGTTGTGTCTGTCTCAGTGACAGACTGACGCGGCAGTTGTCTTCTTCTCTGATCAAAACAATGTTGTCTTTTCCTCTGATCAAAACAGTGTGTCCCTCTAGCGGATATTCCATGAATTGCACCTTATTAAAAATATTCATTCCATGTCTTTTATGCATTTTTTCACTTTTAAATTATCCTGCGAGTGTGATCAAACCTCCTTGCAGGCCGGTTCCGGCCCGCGGGCCGCATGTTTGACACCTCTGGTTTAGAACATAGACTTCGTTCAGACATTAATAAAAGGCAAGCGTGCTCTACCTCTCCGAATACACACACTCTCAGAGTAGTGCATGGGCGTCAGAGTGAATTTCTGAATGCGCCCCAAACTGTTCATGGTCTCTGTTTTTGTGAAACAACGCCCCCACACCCCCCCACCCAAAAAAAAATCTACATTCCTTGACATGTCACACGTAGAAGGAAGAAAAATATCAAAATACCCCAGAAAATAGCAAGATAAAACTGCAATAGACCGAACCGCAAAGTAGGAACGGAACCCTGTATGCCAAACTGCAGAGCGGGGAGACTGTAAATGTATCCATAGCAGACAGTGGGACATCCATAAACCTTATTTGAAACATTATTTTTACTAATATATTTTAAGAATACAGTAGTACGCTCTTCACACTTTTCTCTTTTAATAATAGTTGACAGTACTATGAAATATAACTTTTGGGGGTTTTTACTCGACCTCTTGAAATACTGTGAAAGAAATGTATTTGTTGGTTTGATTTTGCAAGTGAAAAAAAGCAGAGTATCATTCAATGTCTTTTTTTTTTTTAGATCACAAAAAAAAAAAAAAAAACCTCGGCATCTAAACACAGATATGTGTACATTATATGGACCGTACATGGTGAGTTTGGCACAGAACATATAGCTGGAATTACCCTTCATCGGTTAGTGCAGTGGCTCCAATCAGGATAGGCCTGTTGAATGCGAGCAAATATTGGACAACTTTCATTGTGAAAGATTTTTTTTCTCCTCTTGGCTTCTGATTTAGATTTCATTTTAGTGACAGAGGCATAACCCACTCAGTTATCAGACAGAGTAGTAGAATAAGCAATGCTGGCTCCTTTCAACAATTCTGAACAAAGTTTCTTTGAATAAGGTCACTCTTCTGCACTGTTGTATGTGATGGTTGAAAGACCACCTTGGTACAATAAGTACTTCACTGGTGACCTTTCTGAGTGCAGTGATTAATGATGTAATCGTTTGAGACTTCCATATTGACGTGTGACGGCAAGACTCCGACAAGGGAGTTTCTACATCTTATCGACTCTTTTCATCTTCTTACCTTCTGAGAGTAGAGGCCGTGTTTTCTGACCATATGCCTGTAATAGTTGACTTCATTTCTCAACTGAGTGCTCCTTCTTGCTGATGTTGAATGAACTATCTACTGCCGCTCCTGTGGCCATGAGCACTGCTTGGAAGGAACCAGCGAGAACTTATGCTATGTTAACACTGCAAGGCATGATGACCAATGGGGATTTTTTTTTTTTTTTTTTTGTGAAATCCAATGTCTTTATGTGATCATTCACATTAAAAATAACAAACGGGACTTTTAATGTGAAAACCTTGACCATTATGGAATGCGTCCATGAGGTGAATCGCATGCCCACAAAAAACAAAGTCACGTGGCACAATGTTTACGGAAGAAAATATGGCGCCGCATGTAGGGGCCTTTATCATTTCTCTCTGTGGAGCTCGACAGGTCTTCAATCCTCTGCTTACATAGTGCACACCAGAAATCCCAAGGAGAAGAGGAGATTGGGAGAGGAGTGAGGAAGGCAGAGGGACAAAAACATTTTGGCAAAAATGAGATGATTATGTCTCATTCATTGCATTTTCAAGAGACTGCAACTAAAGACGACCACACGCCTTGACTTGTGTCAAAAATCAATCATTTCCATGGCTTAGATATTACTATGGCCACATACAGTATGTTCACTTGATGCTTCAAGTGGGATTAAATTAAGGTGAAATATAAACAACACTGTTCCTCTACAATAATTGCAAATGTAAACTTGATCATGAGTAATATATCCTAATCTCCACCCATCCCAATTGGTGTGATTTGTAAATATGTACAAAGTGTTGATATGTTGCATATGTATCGCATAAAATGCAAAAACAGTGAATAAATAATAGCTAGCGAAAATAATATCTGATTTTGTACATCCTGTATTACTATATATATATACACACACACACACACACACACACACACACACACAGTAATCCCTCACTCCAATGCGGTTCACCTTCCGCGGCTTCGCTGTTTCACGGATATTTTTAGTGCAATTTTTTTTAATGCTTTTTTTTTTAAACAGTGACTTGTGTTCTGCATTCTGATTGGCTAAGGGACTCACCAACGTGAACAGTCTCCGCACCTCGTCTCTGTACAGCTTGCCAAATTTACAATCATAAAATGGCCTACATCATAAAATGGCCTACATCAGGGGTGTCAAACTCATTTCACATGGTGGGCCACATACGGCCTGGGTAGATGTCAAGTGGGCCGGACCATTAAAATGATACCATACTTTGCTATAAATAACCAAAACAACATGTCTTTCCTTTGTTTTGGTATAAAGAAACACAAGAACATTAGGAAAATGTTGAAATTAAATGAACATATCTTTGACAAAACATTTCATGAAGCACCTTACATTTTCTTCGACAAATGTGCAATTTACTTTTATCATTCACATATATGCATTGCAACTGATCCCACTGATTGTACAAACTTTAACAAGTAATTGGTTTTGAAAAATATAGTAATGCACTTTAAGATTAAACGAGATTTATAAAGAAAGGAAGTTTTAAACCATTTACACGTGCATATAAAATCTAAATGTAATCCCTGCCTACACCTTACAAACTAAGGAGCGTGCTATTAAATGTGTAAATGTGAGAGTGCTATTGATAGCGTCTGCTGTCATGGGTCTGTCTCAGTGA